AATACTGTTATTTTATTCACTAATGTAATGTATTTATGAAAACAGCAACTTGCACAGACAAAAATACCGCAAAAAATAAATAGAATAAAGACTTGAATTTTATTCATAGAGTCAGCGACAATTTCTGTAACACGTTCTTATTTTATTTTATATCATCTTTTAAAAAATAATCACTTTATAATAAATATCCCGTTATGTATCCGTCTTGCAAAATCCAGTTCTTTTTTTACTCCCATTATGCATTATCTCGAGATTTGACCGCGCATGTCTGATTGCTATGTCTTGATTTACATATTCTTCTTAATACTTTCACAGATCTGCACGACATTTCAATTTGATGTAATGGATTGTGTAACAATTTATATTAAAATATATCTACACTGCACTGATTTAACGGCATAGTAATTGAAATATTTTCATTTTAATATAAAAAATGGCATAGAAAAATTAATAGATAATCACTGACATCAATCCTAAGTATGCCACTGAAAATCAATAAATGAAACGTAGAATTCCTAATCTAGATAACCTTGCTTTAGTGAGATTAATATATAAATTCAATACATAATGGTATTAGAAGTTTGGAACTGCAGATATGCAAATATTGATATTTTAATTAAATAATGCTCAAACTTTCTTTCTTTTTTAGTCGAATTTTACTGATTATCCAATAAGTATCCCAAATAACACAAAGTTTAAAATTGTGACATAAGACGTCTTTAAGTTGTCTTTTAAACGCAAAAAATGTTTTATAACGCGATTTCAGATACTTTTTGTTGTCTGGGATGCCACTGGCTAATCATTAATTATCCACTGATTTCAAGATTTAGATGGTATTTATTATAATTTCAATTGTATTGCTTCTATATTATATTATAAAATCATTATGTTTTTATACTTGTATATGTAAATTACTATGTATTAATTAATAATTATATTAAGTTATTAAATTTACTTTTTTTTTTAATTTCATTTATTCTGTCCTTATGAAATTGTCTACTTCCATTTTTTTAAATTATGGATATGGCATGGACCATCTTTTTAAGAATGTGAATCAATTTGAGATGATCTGAAAAAAATCTAACCTCTCGTCAATTGTGCAACTCTTCCCGAAGAGTTGAGATTAATTAATTAAGAATACAAAACTACTGTAATATTTTTTTCATCTCTTTTTCCTTTTTTAGTAAACGAGTCTGACCGGATGCGATCAAAATATCACAAGTTTCGGCAGAGATGAGCTGCCAAGGTTGTATAGTTAACTTTATGGCTCCGGTCGTAAAAGATGTAACTCGGCCGATCGATTTCATAGGACCTGTTCTCGCCCATACGAAGCCACCGAGTGGAATTAATTTATGTATAAATATTACAAAAATATATCGAGTTTTAATTGTCGCCTGGTTTTTTTTTGCTTTTCTATTATTTTTTCTGTAATTTATATGATAAATATTTCTTTGCTACTTTATGTATATATACATCTATTGATGTTTCATTTGAAGATCTGATTAAAAATCTGAAAGTTACGCTTAAGTTATAATATTATTTTAAAATATTGGATTGTCTTGTTTTTTTTATAAAAAATATATAGTATAACAAATTAGTGGAAGGATGCGCATATAAAGAAAACTAACGTGTTGGCTTGATAAGTTAAACAATATTATGTTATCCAATTTGTCAGAACTATTAGCACGAGAACGAATTGATAAAAAATATTCCAAAGCCTTGAATTAATGCGATTATTCGTTATAGAAATACCTAATCTCTGACCAATCAATTTATAAAGGTGTGTCGAATTTCTGCCTCAAGAGTGCAAATTGATTGCAGAGATCTTTTCGATAAGGTTATTCTTAATTTTCTTAGATTTTATTAAAAATCCACACATTTATTTCTTGCAAAATTTGAAAATTTAATAATTATATTATAATATATCATTTTTATATGGTTTGTGTTAAATAAAAAATTAATATTAAAATAATAAATTTAGATTTTATTAAATATTAAGTATTACTTAAATTTTTACAATTATTTTTAATATATATGTTTATAATCTTGCTATTATAATATTTTAGATTACAAAAGTCATGAAAAATTATTAAGAATTATAAAAGACTTTATATAATACATAATTTAAAAAAAAAAACTTTTTAAACAAGATACATTATAAATTTTTTAATTTTGAAGTTAAAATTGTGTAAAATGAACAATATATAATATATATATTTATGTGCCACTATTTTCGAGTGAGAATGATCAAAATTGATTGAAAAAGATTAAACGAGAAGATTAAAATGTCATCGACTACAGCAAATTTTAATATTTTTATTATCTTATCATCTCCTTTTCAATCAAGAAAGAGACCACCCGAGCATGTCAATTAGCTTTCGGATCAGTTTATGCAAACTGCATCTGAAAACTGAGTGCATTGATTTTTGCTTGAGATCTTTTGAACATATCCTTTAAACATATCAGTCATACACTATTTAATCCTTTACATCAAGTTCTTCTCTCACGTTTGCTTTCATTTTAAAGTAAATTAGGATATCGAAAAAAATAAAAAGAAATGTATAAACAGTTATAAATAATTTGAAAACTTTTTTAAACTTTTAATTATTAATTTATTAATTAACAAGATATTTTTCATAATTTAACATTGTTTTAAACACATTAATCTTTAATTTAAACAATAATTTTTTTTTTTTTTGGAAAATAGAAACAAAACTTCTCTATAATTTTAAAAAATACATAATTATTAAAAATTACAAAATTTGTTACAAATTAAGTTTTTATTTATTTTCAAGAGTCAATTAAAAATAGAATGCGATATCCGCGCATTTATATGTGCTTAAAATATAAAATTTCAAAATTTTAAATATAATGTTATTTATATTTATTTTATATATTTGTGTGTATCGATAGTTAGTATAACTTAACATATATTACAAAAGAAATTTCTAAGTCATTGTCATTAAATTATCAATTTAAAACAACTTGTAATAATAACTTTAGTTTCAAGTTCGTATAAAACAGAGTGTCATTAAGAAAGTTCCGTATTTTTAAACCTTTTTATCTCTACGCTTAACAAGTTTTTATAACTAATTATTTTATAACTAAATAATTATTACTAGATATATATTTAATAAGCGTTGTTTTATATTCTGCTGTTTTTAATATAGAATATATTAGTATATATGAAAGTTATATATATATAATTATATATATAACTTAATTAATTATATAAAATATATAATTATATATTTTTATAATTTTTTAATCAATCTATTCAGAATACAACTTTTGAATACACAGCATACTTTATGATACTATAATTCATAAAGTGTCTCAAAATTAGAAAAATATTTTCTATAATAAATTCTTTGATCGATTTGCAATCGATACTTCTTCGATGAAAATGTCAAGACATCTATAATAAAGTCTAGGAACTATGCTTTATTGTTATGTATAAGCATAATGTGTTTTGGATATTTCTTCTTAATTTTATGTTTAAATAATGTATGTTTTTCTTACATTCTTAATTTATTTATCATTTTATACATTTCAAAATAGACAGATAATAAAAAATAATCATATTTAAAAGGTAATCATAAAATTATATAAAAGATTATAAATAAATAGGTAACTATTGTTTAAATTATTGATTTAACATACATATTTTTATTTTAAAAATTAAATAAAACAAAATTATTATTAAAAAAATAATAATTTATGTAATATTTTGCTTATTATTTATGTATGCAAATAAAAATGTATATTTGAACTATGAAATATTTATTCACTTATCACTTATCCTTTTTATTTACTTTTTTACTTATGTGTCTGTTATACAAAATTTATATTTTTACTATAATATTAATTTATTATATAAATTTATAAATAATTTCAGAATTAATTTATATATTAAATAAAAATTTATTTTCGTTTGAGTTTTATTGATTTAATATCTGTTCTGGAATATTCCGTATTATATAAATATAATATATATAAATTTTTTTTATCTTCTTTTCAAACTTTTGACTTTCTCTCATTTTTATAACATCGTTATTATTACAGAAATTATGCGTTTCGCGAGTTATCTCCGTGTCCAAATTCATTCTTGAAATGTTGAAACGTTGACATTCTAAAAATGGATTTGGACACGGAGATAACCCGCGAAATGCATAATTTCTACGTAGAAAGTGCCCGTGGAAACCTCAAGAATGTTATTGTTATTATTATTTTTTTAATATAGGTAGAATAATATTTCCAAGAATATATATAAGAATGATATAAAGCCTGATTATTTAAGAAATGATTAATTACGTCGATTTATCTCAATATTTTATAACGAAGTGAGCTAATCATCACTTAGTCATACATAATATATTAGAAACTGTTGAGAGAGTATTTTAACATCCGACAAGAAAAATACATCAGTGCTGTAATTAAAAGATTAAGATAGAAATCGGTTCGACCAAGAATGCGGTCCATTAAACCTTACGAAAATTGACCTCTTATATTCACTTCTCAGCCTTTAAAAGCCTCCCATGTTTCTTTCAGTGATAATGTTGAGTATTTGAAGATGTACGAATGTGATTTGAACCGTATCTTGAGAGAAAGAAAAAAAAATGAAAAAGAAGAAAAACAAGAAAAAGCGAAAGGCCAATGGACTGTAAAAATCCATGAAGCGTGGAACTGATGTATATCCATTTGCATAAATTATCGTAATCATTTTCATGAAGCTTTAACTGAATCTTCGTTGAAAGATGGGCGCCTTTCTTAGGGACGGATTGACAAAGGACAGCGATGAGAACAACTGTCGCTAAAATGTCCGCGTTAATTTTTTATTCAGAAATTTCGGAGAATAATGTGAAAAAATACAAGCGAGCTAATATGCGAGAGAAGTTGGAGTAAATTAAAAAATCTAGTTCTGCCAATGCCACCGGATTACGACATACGGAGGAAGATCTTGGGGGGGAGAAAGAAGTATAAAAGATCGAAATGTCTCCAGGCAGATGTTCAACTCATCGCCTTGACATCATACAACTAACATGAAGCTCCTCCTGCTCACGTTTGTGGTAAGAGAGACTCATTTCCATCTATCCCCTTAGCTCCAAAATTGCGATTATAGATATCAATTTTCATGAAACAATTTTGCGACTTTTTGACTATTTTCAAATTCTAGCTTTCCCTCCCTCTATAACATTTCATTAATAAAAAGGTAAAATACAGTTTAAGAGAAATCTGTTTGCAATTTGGTTTTATAAATTGAAATTAATATCAGTTTAATGTCTTAAATATAAGTTTGAAACATAAGAAAATAAGAGTAAAGTTGCTAGAATTTACAGTATTGCACACAATATTTTTAATTAATTATTTTAATTATAAGTTAATCATTTTAATTATAATTAAACGATTATCTATAATTAAACTGCAAAGATTTTTAAATAAAAAAAAAATTTTTTTTAAATAAATATTTTAAATTTAATAATATTTAATAACGTATTCAAATAAATTAAGTAAATCAGTTAAAAATGTAACTTACAATATAATAATATTTATATATTAAGAAATAAAAGTACATTTCTTTTTAGTATTATAATAATTCTAAATTAAAAAATAAATATCTTATATGTGAGAAAATAGTAATTTTTTTAAGACAAGAAATTGGTAATGTATTAAATAAATTATGATCCGCTTCTATCGCACATTATCAATTATATCATATTTGCATTTTGTGATCTTTCAAGAAATAAAAAATTTCATTTAATTGCACAAATAAATTGTGGACGACACACGGAAGTCTAAATTCGAATATTTTTGTATTAATTAAAATGCATGAATCTCGTATCAATTTCATAAAATTTAAATTTAATTGCCGAGGCTGATTTAAAATTGCATAATAAATAGCAAAACAATAAATGTAGAGAATTCCGTCAGCTTGTCAACAAGAATGATATAAATAATCTAAACAATTAATAAACACCTCTAAAAAGACTTTAAATTCTATTTTATTAATATACATATTTGATATTATTATACGTAACACATGCAGACAATAAAATACTGTATTATGTTTTTTAAACTATATTTTTTAATCCTGTTTTGCTGATATGTGCAAATGTTATATTTTCAGGTCTGCTTCACGGCAGCTTTAGCAGCATCAGTCAATAAGTCAAAGAGGGACATCCTACCGGGCGATCCACGCTACGGAACCGAGCATGATCATCATCATGAACATGAAAATGAGGTACAAATCTTGAAAGCCGCCGGCGGCTACATAGGTTCTTATACAGTTCCAGACGACACAGAGGACCATTCATTCCAGGTACAATCTCAGCAACTCTACGGACCGCCTAACCATACACCAGGCAAACCTTTGGGAGCTGACTTCTTCGCGACCAGTGATGCTGCCAAAACTCCCTCCATCCTCGTGCCATCCACCTCCTACGGAATACCCGATACTACTCAGGTAACCGAAAAATTTATGAAAATCGTTTAGTCGTGTTGGATTTACCATAAATACAATTCTGACAAAAGAGCAAAAGTTATGAAATTATTCCTTACAGTAAAGCTATTAAAATTCATTTTTATTAATAAACAGTACAGTAATAATGAAAATTTATTATTTAATAAATCGTTGCATTAATTAGGATTTGTTTTTCTATGCAGATTCTTAACAACTTCCTTGGATCCATTGATGACAAAAACTCTGCCGCTATAAAGGTATGTATAATTTATAATATCGATCATATTATCTCTCTACAATCATAACTTTATACAAATTCGTTAATTAATTTATTTAAAATCTTAATTGTGTTAGCTGTGCAATTATCATCTTCTGTTCTACATATTCATTTTTATCTTAATCTTAAATATTAATTTTTTATTTTATGCTTATTCTAACTTCTTGTCAATGTAATAAAATTTAGATTTTATTGTGCTGACTATTAACATAGGTAGTTATTATTAATATTCTATACTTTTGTCATACAATTTTGTAATACATGTATAAATATCGAATTTTCCATAGACGGCCATAGACGGCGTTCAGGAACATTCGAAATTCGATACCGTGCAGAAAACCATAATTCCAGAGCAGCCAGCGGTTGTTAACAAGCATGTGGAAACCGCTCCGCAAGTGAAGACGACGACTTCTCATTTGCCCACTGAGACCCAAGGTGAGCATTGATCTATCAAGAATTTACGATCTCCTTCAATTGTGTCGCGCCCGTTGAGAATTTATGGCTCTCCTAAATTTACATTAGACTTGTAAAAAAGTGAATACCGTTTACACCAAGTTACATAAGATATTTGGAAGGTTTCGAGTTTTCATAATGGTCTAACCTTTTGCCGTTCGAGGCCGATCACGAGAGTCACGTAGAAATATTTTAACGCTTGACTAATATTGAAATGATATATGAAAACTTGTCACGGTCTAAGTGATTTGCTCGCCTTTCATCGAAAATGTATGCAAAAATGTATACCCAATATATAAATATTTATTATGTTATGTAATTGGAAACAGTTTCTTTTCCTCACAGTGTTTATTCACTTTACTTCCAATTAAAAAGAAATCTATATTTCTTTAAATTCTGCATTTTTTTGTGTCTAGCGCAAAAGATATAAATTTACGTAATTTAGAAAACCAAAATAAAGTTTAAAAATAATGTTCAAAAATAAATAAATAAGTATGAAATACATCTAATCTAATTTAATTGAAATACATTTAATCTAATGTAATTTATTTGTCAGTCTAATTATTCTGTTTAATTATAATTATTTTATTTACTATTAATATAATTACAATTAATTTATTGTTGTTAAGACTTGCGTTTTTCGAATATTAGGTAAAGAATTGGCAGTTCATTTTTGTATATTATGAGCCTTGGAGAATAAAAAAAGAATTAATTATATAAATAAAATTCTATATATAAAAGATGAATTAAATAAATATTTGAAAATGGGAAATTTTTTCTGTTTCAGATTTGTCCTCCTTAATTTCTACTTTCAACACTTTCCCCAGTTACGCCTCGTACTCCTCGTACAGCAACATACCCGTGAAAACTGTGAATCATCATTTGCAAGTGCAAGTACCTCAACCGTATCAAGTACCGGTAACCAAGCATGTTGCTGTTCCCATTCCAGTTCCGCACACCGTCGAAGTTCCTAAACCCTACTACGTCCGTGTGCCCCAACCTGTTCAAGTCCCCGTGGATCGTCCATATCCCGTGGAAGTGCCTCGTCCAGTGCCATACCCCCTTCATCATTACGTAAAAACTAGCGTTCCAGTTGCTCATCCAATTGCTCAGCCAATTGCTCAGCCAATTGCTCATTCAATTGCTCAGCCAATTGCTCAGCCAATTGCTCATCCAATTGCTCAGCCAATTGCTCATTCAATTGCTCAGCCAATTGCTCATTCAATTGCTTATCCAGTTGCTCATTCAATTGCTCATCACGCGACAGTGGATGCCAAGGATAATCCAGTGCAGACCTTCTTCGACAATTCCCAGTTGGCGTTCCAAAACGTATTGGGAAATCTACCGACTTTCTCAAATCCTCTGGACGGCCTCCAAAATTCGTTTGAGAACCTCGAGTTCCCCCCTCTATCTTTCATACCATCCTCAATACCGTTCCTACCGCAGCAACCCTCCGCCGTGCCCTCTTCGAACAGCGACTCAGTTACTGTTGATAATGCAGCGCTGAAGGTTGAACCCGTTAAGATAAAGCCCGTCGTGCAACCGAGCAAACAAGCATATAAGTCTTCCACCGCGTGTGCTGGATGTATTGTTTCTTCTGCCACAAACAACAAGCAGGAATATGTGCAACCCACCGATTCCAATGGTGGTTACGTATACTAGAATGTTTATCTTGTAATGGACATTGAATAAACTACTAGAATCTCTTAGTAGAAATATATATTACACGAAGGATTACTCAACGATGACTTATCCCTGAAGTATCAATTTGATCGGAAAGTTTGCTTGTGCTTTTTCTTTTATAATAGTTTGTTTTGATATTTCATAATATATAGAAGAAGAATGTAACTTAACTATGTAAAAAAAGAATTAAAAACTTCCACCAGTTACTTTCCTGATGATACTTATATCTTCGATTAAATCGAAACTATTGAAAGTCTTTCTTTTCCTAGGTACGAACTAGAAATACTATTAAACGACAATCTGTGGATAAATTTTCATGTTTATCAAGTGGTTTCGGCAAATCTAAAAATAATTGAAGAATGTAGATATTGACTGTTTTATGATTGCCAATCTAATAAATAAAATATTAAATTTATGATTATACAGATTATTATTATACAAATTATAAATAAATATATATTTACAGTGTAATAATATTATATTTTTTTCCACATTTTTTCCATAAGTTATCATTTGTATAGACCATTAACGATAACATAGAAGTAAACATATCTCTATAAAAAAGTCTATCTGTAAATGCCCTATTAGTGCCTGGTAATGTAACATTTTAAAAAAACGTTAAGCTATATTTTAATGATACCTCATTTAAAATTATCAAAATATTTCTATTATACGATTCTTATAAACTTTTAAAGAATCACGTATGTAAAAATTAAATGGTTCATAATTTTATTTAATATTTAAATAAATAATTTAACTCTAAATTTTAATTTTTAATTTTTCTATTCAATTTTTACACAATTCTATTAACATGTACATATAAAATTGTTGTTTATGTTATACAATCTCTCAGTCTTTCTTTCTCTTTATTTTATTCCAATTTATCTTTTAAATTTAATTCCTTATGAATAATTTTCACAGGACATATTAATAAATCAACAAACAAAAAATTTCTTCATTAATCCAATATTCTATTCTTATCGGAAATAAATATTGCAGCAATCAAAGACAATAAGATAGACATTAATGGAATAAAACTTAAAATATTTATAGCATTCTAATATAATTTTAGATTCTATACAATCGGAATGACACAAAATTAAAGTTATAATTCAAAATTCAAAAATTGTCTAAACATTATTAAGATTAAAAGGATTACAGGAATTAGAAAATATTTTTTTTACAGAAATAAAGTTCTTTTATTATAAACATTATTGGACCATTTTTAGATTTCTTGATAGGTTGTATCCAACGTCAGTCGAAAAACTGTATCAGTGCGAAAAATTTTACGGAATTACATAGAAATAATTCGCATACTATATACGGAATGGATAACAATAATTATTAAAGCGATTGCAGTACATGCACAAAACTCTGTAAATGTATATTAATTCTCACTTATTTAAATTCGAAATATAGAGAGCATAAAAAATTTTATTTATTATTTGATATTGCATTATTGCAACATTTACTGACTCTCACGAGATAAAAAATTAATTGTTTCAACAATAGATTATTATTGTTTTGCACGTGAACTTACTGGCCCTTACATTTGATTAATCAAATATTAAATAACAATTGTCGAAGTCGCAAGTTTTACCATAAACGACACTTTCTCGATGGATTCATGGACGATCCTACTGGACAATTCCACGTAGTGCTAAATTCTTTGGAATTTCTCAGTACAGCTTGAAGTCTCACATGGCCGGGACAATGAGTATGTCTCATCATCCACCTTAGTGAGATAGCAGTATAAGACTCGCACCACAACTAAAATAGTAAAATAATTAACATTTACTCATAACTTGAATAACATTAGAAGCAATTTTCACAAGAACTTATGTAATAATATATATATATATATACATACATATACATCTATTTAGCAAAAGCGAAAATGTTTTTATGTTACATGCCACATAATGATTTTTACATAGGTCTCCTAAAGAAAACTTTCCCTATTTCTAGTAACTATTGCCTTTATTAATACTAATAAAATCATGATCTGTTTAGCTAATTAAAGAATGCAAACTTATATTTCATATATTTGTGATTTATTGCTATATCAAATCAGCTAAAAACGAATTCTATGAATACGAAAATTCTTACAATTTTTTTTGCAAATTGCAAAAAATAGTTTAAATAATAGTGACTATATTATTGATAATATTATATCGTTTTAAATGCTTGTAGTTTCCTAAATCAGTTTTATTTATATTATTTTTTCTCGTAGTTGTTTCATAATATGATTTTAAATTAAAAATTGGAATGCTGCGTAAACCTGCCATACCTGTCTGTAAAATAGATCATGAGCTAATTTAATCTTTATAATGTTGCTTTATAATGTCAAATATCTCTATTAGAGCTGAAAGTAATCGTGCATATATGAAAAAACTCTTGAAAAACTATCATATTATATATTTGCATCTTACAGAAAACAATATAAAAAAATTGTACATATATTTTAATAAAAATGTTTTAGAACGAAGTGAAAAAATTCTGGAAAATATTATACATATACATTCATTTGTAGGTACTTTATACAGATAATTCCTGCAAAAATAATTCTAGAAAAAATAGGAATACGTATAACTGCCTATTGTGTCAGTTATTGAGCTCATTTTATCAGATGCTTATTTTTGCTTATTATAAAAAAAAATTAATTATTGCAAAATTGCAAACAGTATTATAAAAACTGCTTATACTATTTGATAGAAGATACTTTTTAATTTGCAGTTATGTTTTTAAAGTTTTATTTTTATCTTTTGTTTAAGAAATATTGTCTAAAAACAAAGTGGTATGTCTATATCGATAACTTTTCTTTATCTATTTAGCAAAAGCGAAAATGTTTTCATGTTATGGTGTTACATGCCACATAATTATATAAAGAAACAGTCTTAATATTGTAAAGTAGATTAAAAGAACGGAATTATAATAAATTTTAGGTAGATAATATCAATCAATTTATTGTTATTAGATGAAAAATATATGCCAATTGTAATTTATTGTTACTGATCTTGCCGTTTTTAATTCTTATTTATCTAGTATAATAGAATTTAAATTTAAATAATGCAGTAAATAAAAAAACAAGCAAAGATGAAACTAGTTCTATAAATTATTGATTACGAAATCATCGAAAAATTTTACAATTTAAAAAAATATACTTTTAATTTGAATATGAATCAGACAAGTCTGAGAATTCCGGATTTGTCTTTCTACTATTTAAGCCAACGATTTTATCATTAAATTCCTTGAAAATAGACGATTTATTAGCGACTTCTTTCCCATAAAAATGTAAAACTGATAGAAATATGGAAATTGATGTGTAAATAAAAATGTTTAAAATATCACTTAAAACGTCTTTTTTGCTAAAGTCTTTTTGCTTTTTTGGTTAAATTTTTTATTCTACTACCTTAAGCGTTCAAAAACTTTATGAAGCTAAGAGATTTTTATTTGGATATACCTATAAACATGAGATTGGGACTTGACTATTATAACTGGAATGTTGGCTTACGTGCGCAAAAGAAAGAAAAAGTAATTGCTCGTGCGTAAACTGCGTTAATCCCGGAAGTAAAGGCTCATGACCGTGTCGAATCTTCCACCTCTTGTAAGCAACGATGGCCTCGCGGAGACCACCATTATCAGCGATGTTTTCTCCCAAGGTCAGTTCGCCATCGATGTAATCATCGACCTATACAAGACATCATTCATCGATATGATCAGGTTATTCAACTTCTTAAAACTAAAGCTGATTTATACATAAAAAATTAATGCTTACATAGATTAAGATATAACTTAAAATAGGCTGTATAAAAAGATATTATCTTGATAAAATTAAATATTTTAAAATTTAAATAACGTTTAAATAAAATTTTTAAAAATTATCTGTGATATCTATTTATTTAATACTTGAACTCCCTCTTATTGGTTTATTTTATCACTTCTTTTATTTCTTAAAAGATCAAAACAAACTTAATAAACTTTTTTAATATCAAATATTTTGTAATATGGTTACTAGACTTGCCTCGACTTCGTAATAAGTATTATAGTCATCTATGAAACACTTAGTTCTGCTCGTGTACTCTAAGATACTTTCATTGGTCCACCATTGCCGATAATTTCCGTCGCCGTCGTAAAACCGACCGTTGGGGTCAAATCCGTGAGTTAATTCATGTCCAAGTATTGCGCCGATGGCGCCATAATTTAAAGCCCTACAATTATTTTTAAAAAATGCTAATTTTTTTCTTTCTCATTATATAATAACTTTACGAAGAATTTACGCTTTCTACTATTTATTTTCTACATTAATTTTTTACTTGTATATATACTTTAATATTATTTTTTTATACATAAAGATAACAATAAAAATAATTATTCCTATTCTTACTCAAGACCCAATTCATAAAATGGAAATTGAAGAATTCCAGCAGGTATGGCTGCATGTGTAAATAGTGAAAGAAGAAAGGACATATGTTAATGTAACATTGATGCAATCATCAAAAAAGACAGTTTTTTCGACTAACACATTATTAACAATATAACAATTTATACTGTAAAGAGGCATATGAAATTAAATAAATAATTACACAATTTATAGTAGAAATATAAAATTGTGCTTTTTTTTGAAAAATTATTTGAATGTATGTATGTGTGTAAATATATATTTTTACATTAAACAGAAAATTCGCCAACAAATTACATACAATTTTTCTGATTATAGATATGTACATATAATAATTGATATGTACGAACATAAAGATACAAATATAATATGTATTACCTACGTGTTATCAATGCTTTATATATCCCTAATATTATAAAAAATTGTACAATTACATAAAAATAATAAAATATAGAGGAAAATCACCGATACTGACATAAGTTTTCTAAAATGACACCCCCTTTTTTCTCAGAAACTACTGCACTTTATTAATACTAATAAAATAATGATTTGTTTACCTCATTAAAGAAGTACAAATTCATATTTGTGGTTTGTTTTTATATCAAATCAGCTAAAAACAAATTCTACGAATACGAAAATAAAATTCTTACAATTTTTTTTTTGCAAATTGCGTAGTTTAAATAATAGACAATATTATTGATAATATTACGTCATTTTAAATGCTTGTAATTTTCTAAATCAGTTTTATTTATATATATTATTTCTTCTTTTAATTTTTTTATAATACAATTTAAAATTTAAAATTGGAGTGCAGCGTAAACCGCCACATCTGTCTGTAAAACAGATCATGAGCTAATTTAATTTTTATAATGTTGCTTTATAGTATCAAATAGCTTTATTGGAGCTAAAAACAATCGTGCATATATGAAAAAACTCTTGAAAAACCCGCGTTCTATTTGTGCCTTGCAGCATAAAGTAAATATGCATACTTGTATAATTCAATAACAATGTTTTATAACGAAGTGAAAAGATTCTGAAATATCTTATATACATTCACTTGTTGATACTTTATAATAATAGATAATTCCTACAAAAGATACAGATAATTCCTGCAAAAAAAAAAAATAGGAATATGTAGCATTATTGCCTATTGTGTCAGTTTTGAAGCCCATTTTGTCAAACGCTCATTTTTAATTAGCTTACGAAAAAATTAATTATTGAAAAATTACAATACAGTATTATAAAAACTGATTATATTATCTGATAAGAAAATACTTTTTAATTTCTATTTATGTGTTTAAAGTTTTATTTTTACTTTTTGTTTAAAAAATATTGTCTAAAAACAAAGTGGCATGTCGGTATCGGTGATCTTCCTCTACCATTATTATTGTATGTAATTTTTCATTTAATATAAAATACTTATACATTAGTACTAATTTTTTGAAAAAAAATTTTATAAATTTCCATTACAAATTGCGTATTTTTTATGCATATTTATATAATTTTACATACTTTTACTTTTTTAATAATAAAAAATTAAATTATTACATACTTATATGATTAAATTCATAGTTGTGAAATGCGTTTACATCAGTAGGATCAGCTGCCCAACTGATCATCCATAATAAAGCGAAGCATAAATAGAAAGAAAACCTCAGTACTAATTTTTACAGATAACAACTTTTAAAATTTTTTACTTACTATAATGACTTATTGAATATATTTTCGTCATGCAGACTTGCCCACGTTTTGTTCAATTGCACTTGAACGAATTGTACCAAGTTTGCCAAGTATCTTGTTTCCGATAGATCTATCTACATATTAATTAACAGATCAATGTTATGCAAACTACATACAAATAATGCTATTATATTTTGTAAGATAAAATAGATAAACATAAATATATGTATATTATAAAAATAAATTTAAATTTAAATATATGTACATATAATAATAATTAATACAATTAAATGAGAAATTTTTAATGCGTAAAAAAATTTCCGCAAAACAAATTTTTCATTTATTTTGTCAGAAAATTGTAACTACTATAATTAATTTTTCACAAAACTTACTCCTTCGTAATATTCAGCAAGCTTCTCTTCGTTAAAGAGCCACGTGGGAAATCCAATTGAGCTCTCCATTTTTTTGCTTTTTTCGATTGTTGCCGTTTTCGTCGATTGATCCATCCAATCCATCTTAGCGACAAGTGAGCCGAATGCCTCTCTTATATCCTCTAGCATTTCTTGTACTTTTTTAACTTTATTTTCATGAAATGTCGGATCTACGAACAACCATGATACAGCCATTCCTGGAAGTCGATGGACATCATTAATTGAAAAACATTTAAAGAGCATTGTGAGACACATTTATTAAATCTAAATACAGCATTATAAAAAAATTAGATGTTGATGTATTTGTTGAATACATTATTTACGAAAAGATTTATTAAAGTTTTAAATAAATACCCATTAATTTATTGACAATTGCTCCACAAAATAACGATTGTGATTTGTCTATAACTTCCATGTCTGTTATCTTACTAACGTACTTGTTCCAAATATCCCTGAGTTTTTCAAAAGCGTAGGGCGCAACAATGTCCACAACCCTCCACCAAATGTAACTTTCTAAATGAATATTGATTCGAATTTTGAAAAGATTTTTTTAAAATAAATACTGAACTTAAACAACAAAGTAATTAATTTAATTAGAATTAATATTATAAATCAGTAATATACATACCTAAGACTTCTTCCTCCAAACAAGCTAATAGTACTGCAACATCTTTCAAATACTCCAGATTACCAATGAGAACTTTATCCTTGTTGTCAAGATCCAACTTATCGATTCCCTCAAAAATGGATTCAATAAAGGGCCGCCAAATTGGTGTAGGAGTGAGAGATAAATTACTATCTATTACATGATCATCTGTCAATTTTTGTAGATCGTCTACTAGCATATAATCACTATCGCTCAAGCTTTCTATGGAAATACTCTGATTTTGATCTGCACGAACCATCTGTCAAAGAATTAAATTCTTGTATATACTCTTAATAATTGAATATATTAGGTGTTGGAATTAATTCGTAGCGTTTTACAAGTGATGGGAAGTACTTTCATTAATGTATTTTTTAATGCTCATGTGAAATAAATAACATTCTTTCATTAAAAACGCTACGAATTAATTCCAACACCTAATATAATATTTTTTTAAATTTTAATTGTATTTTGAAATTGCATTTGAAATAAAAGCAGAGAGAGAGAGAGAGAGAGAGAGAGAGAGAAAGAGAGAGAGTGTAATAAAAAAATAGAATTTTATTATTTAAAAATATTAAATCTTTATTTTAACAATTTTGCGCACAAACATATTAGATTTGATTTATATTATTTATAGTGAATATGAGTAAACGCACTTGATGAGCATTAATGTACATTATCTGTTGTATTACCGACTAAATTATAATTTTTGTATAACAATTACTTTTTTCTTTTCTTACAGATTTGAAATTTTTTTTTACAAATTTAAAATATATGCATTAATATGCGTCTGTGAAGTGGAGTTTATGTCGAGAACAACAAAAAATTTCGAAGTTAAAGTCAAATTCTCAATACATTTTGTTGTGCTATTAAATAAAATATGTAATATTTTATAATTCAAAATATTTGCATTTCATTTTCACTCATCTTCAGATTAAATCAGTGTACAACTTTAATCCGGCGTGAGCTAGGAGGTAAAATACCTAAATTTAAAAGTACTTCGTAAGACACAATGAATCTTTCACTAAATAGAAACTACAAATAAAATATTCAGAATTACAAGAAAATTATGTTTATTAAAATTGGTGCGTATTAACCCGCCATAAGTTAGGTCGGATATGTCACACTCGATACATTGATCTCTTTAACGTTTAAAGTTATTATTATTAGGTGTTGGAATTAATTCGTAGCGTTTTTTAATGAAAGAATGTTATTTATTTCACATGAGCATTAAAAAATACATTAATGAAAGTACTTCCCATCACTTAAAAAACGCTACGAATTAATTCCAACACCTAATAATAATAACTTTAAACGTTAAAGAGATCAATGTATCGAGTGTGACATATCCGACCTAACTTATGGCGGGTTAATACGCACCGATACGAACTAGTGTGTTCAAATGAATTTATTATTAATAAAAAAAATACTTACATTATAAAGAAGATTACTAATATTGTAAACTCTCTTAAAAAATTCAATTAATTCTTCATCTTCAATCACCAATTCGTCGTCTGAAGTGCATTTATTATCAGTGCCATTGTTAATGATGTGTTTAATAACATCAGCCATATAGGTAAATTCGGCCTCTTCATTCTCGCTCAACATGGCTTCGTCTAATTCATCTAATTTTTGCAATCGCGATCTGATGGTTTGTAACCGCTTCTCCAATTCTTTATCTCTATTATTATTATTATTATTATTATTATTATAAATTTATTATTATGTGTACTAATTACAACATTAAGTAATTTACAAAATAATTAAAAATAATAATATGAAATAAATATACTATTGTAAGTATAATAAAAGTATACGTACGCGAGAAAAGGATAGGAATGAATTGGAAAATGGAAATAGAGTACGTTCTTACTCTTATTCTTTGGATCGGGTATGACTTCAAAACCAAAGAAAATGTCAAGGCCCAAAATTCTCTTTACACTGGCAAGTTGTTTGACATAATTAGTCGTTTTATTGGTAACAAACGGTACCATAGGTAAATTTAATAACTTCAACAAGTCAAACAATGGAGACAAATCGAGTTCTTTCACGGTATCTGAAATTTATCTTCTAATAAGAAATATTCAAAATTAAAAGATAATTTATATAATAATGAAATTTAATTTACAATATATTTTACACGTACTATTGTTAAAACGCTACGAATTAATTCCAACACCTAATATATTAATATATATATATATATATATAATATTTTAATTAATATGTTTCTGATTATAGCGTTTGTTTCTTTGACATCTACGTAATTAAATAAAAACAACAACACACGTACATTCGTTCATACAGCTGGTGAACAGATTCTTGGCCTGCATCACTGCCCATGGTACCTCACTTGCAGACATATTGACTATTAGTAGATCTCTGATTTTTCTGTACATGCGATTACTGCGCTCGCTAAACCAGGAATTCGTTAGGCTGGAATCCGGAATAGGATGTTCTTGCGGCCACCTACCACATGCGTATCTAAAATAAAAAGTGAAAGCATCGTACACTACAAAGATAATAAATGTATAAATTATAAATAACTTAATTAAACAAGTTTATAAATTAATTAAATAAAAATAGTAATATGGTTCAAGTAATACAAATTAATTGAAATTATATTGAAAAGAGGCTACGAATAAGAATAAGATTGAATATACTTAAATAATAAGTACTCGTATAATATAATCTTTTTGTCAGTTTTAGTATTAAGCCATTTATAATATAAATATGTTTATGTCAATTGTTTATTACATGTTTAACATTGATACTGACCCGGAGTCGTAACGTATGTATAATCTTATATTTTGTTTAGTGCTTATCAATTGTATTATACTTATTATTTATATTTAATCTTTTATTTTTATGGTTCGTAACCTTTCTCAACATAATTTCAATTAATTAAATAAATGGATTAATAATAATATAAAATCAGCGTCGATTCTAGAACTACTACTTCTAGAAAAAGTTGATTATAATTAATTCATGACACGATCGATGTCTTATATAAGCGAGTGAAAACGAAACACGCAGGATTTGCATGATACAGAAGTAATAAATTTGAAGATTGATATAGAAATTTTGTGTATAATATACATTTTACGAGATGTGCATCACACAATCAATACACGACATAATATCACGCACACCGTGTGTTGTACACCGACAACCGATAAATCTACTCACTGATAAAAATCGTCGCAAGGATCTACAGACTCGTTCATAGATTCCTTTAAACTAGCAGCTGGGTGGACAAAAAAGAATAAATAATTGTTTCCAGGACAGTAATTCCATATATTTTTTTAATCGTTTTATGCAATATTTATGAATAATAGTGCAAATTTATATAATCACTCCATTAGTATAATAATAATTATACACTACTTACCTATTCGTATGCAATCCTCGCTGTCACATACCTCCATCATATTTTTACATGCATCTGCAACAGAAATATGTATTTATAGAATATCTTAAATATTTGCTTCAAAAGCAAATTAAATTTTGTTAGCTTATCGCATTTTTCCAGATTTTTAATATATAAGGTGATCCGAAATTTTCACATTTGGAGTACAGGACATGATACTTTATGCTATAAAACAAACTTTTCACTGTAGTAAAATTACATTCGATAAATAATTTTTATGTTTATTCGTATAACTTCAACTTGCTCTTCTGTAAAAAACTACTTGTTAGAGCAAATTGTTACGCAATTATACAAAAGAAAAGAGTTGTTTCTTGTAGCATACTATAAAGTATCATGTCCTGTACTTCACATGGGGGAATTTCGGATCACCCTTGTATATTAATTTCATTTAATTATCTTTTATATATTTATTTTATACTTATATTATCTTTTATTACCTTTTATTATCTTTCATTTAATTATCTTTTATCTTTTATATTTTTAAAATTAATTTAATTAGATTACATGATCTCGTTATTTATCTTTAACATATTTATTTAATTATTTGAAAAGCATTTTGATAATTTCAACGTGGCCCAGATTTTATCAATTGTGGTTTAAAAAACATTCGGTAAGTCTAAAATTTTATCAATTGTGGTTTAAAAAACATTTGATAAGGTGTCTTTTCATACTAAAGCTCGACGCTCATTTTTTCGACATCAAAATAAGTCACGTGATAGAAATTGATGAATATCAATTTTGATCATGTGACTTATTTTGACATTGAAAATGAGTGTCGAGCATCAGCATGAAAAGACACTTTAAGAGTAGTTTGCATTACATATATACAATATATAAAAAACGCTACGAATTAATTCCAACACCTAATATAAAACATAGAAACCACGATCACATGTAGAATGCTATAAATTATCACATAACAATGATGAACACGCAACAAAGTTGTTTCTTGGGACATGTGGACGCTGCATAATCCAGGTTCGCTAAAATATTTACACATTGCCAATGGCGATCAAAGATATGTTGTTAAATTGATTCTCAATAATTTGTCAAGAATATGTAATTGTAATGCAAAGAAGATATAAAAGCATCGTAAGAATTGAATCATTTCTTTCAAAAAGTGAAAAACATTTCCGGCTATTATATACCTGTTACAAAGAGTATACCTATTATTAATAAAACTCACAGTTATAAAATTTATATACGATATTCAAATAAAAAATGACTAATGCGGCATTTAAGAAATTTATTTCTTGCATTTCAGTTTGCATGCATTATTTTTTTAATGTATTATTTTCTTAGCACGAATATATATATGTTGAATAATACTCTTCTCATAGTAATTTAGGTTTATTAAAAAATAAAAAATATAGTAGATACTTTTTTTTTAATAATTGATACATAATATATAATTTCAAAAAATATATGTTAATATATAATTACACACACACACACACACACGCGCGCGCGCGCACTCACGCACGCACGCATATATGCAACATTTCAATATATAGTAGATATATTTTTTACATAATCCTATCTATATAACAAATAAGATATATTAAAGAAGAAACTTACAAAGTACAGCGAGTATGACAACTGTTATGGACAAGGCACCCACCAGAACAAACAAAATTATCAGCGACAGATTGGAAATCTGACTTTTCTTCTTGAAGCTATAAACATAATAGATTTAGTTAGCAGAAACTTTGATTGATCTACTTGCAAATAAATGTATGTTCTCAATTTAATGAAACAATTTAATGAATTATTATCGAGAGAAAACTATCAATCTCGCTTACTAACAAAGTTTTCCTGGATCTTATCGGCACCAAGTGATTCTGACTTCCAACCGAGTAAACAGATCCTTTATCTTTTGAAAAAAGAAAATATATGAAAATAAATCTAAATAGTAATCATTAGTGAGACAAACTACAATATTATTTTAAAAAGCAGCAATTATTACGTAAAGAATAAGTGCAAAAATCGCCCGATATTTGAGCCTTCATTTTTGGAGCTGAACTGTGTGTCAAATTTTATCTTATTTTCAGACATTAATCACAGAGAAGTTTAAAGATGAGATGACAATTATTATTAGAGCTGGAAGAGATGGAATCAACGGATTTTCGCATAGACATAATACGTGACCATCCCTCCTTCTCCAGCTATAATAACAATTATCATCTCAATTTGAAACTTCTTTGTAATTAATATTTCATTGTAAGGTATCATTTGGCACACAATTCAATCCAAAAATTGATAGCCTAAAAAACGGACGAAAAAAACTTCTTTTTTGCGGTCACTCTTTAATCTGCATGTTTAAAAAAATAAATATTCTTATTATCTATATTGTTATTATTTTTAATATCAAAAGTCCAACAATTTAAAATAGATAAAGGAGCATAAATGCCAATTGGCAAGATGTACATGCAAGTATATATTAAATAATTTCTTTGTGAATATACATATACAAACAAAATGACGCAAACGTTTCAACTTTATATTAGGTCATCTTCAGTGCTTGTATAATTTTTTAAAATTATATAACAGCGCTGGTATATTCTCAATATAAAAATTAAAAATCAAATTAGTTCATAAAAATATTCCATTATTGTATTTATATAAGCCTATCAAAGATACACAAACAGGGGAATCGATTGAGAATAATTATGTCGGAGGAGTGGCTGATGGCTTTCAAAATGCTTCTAGAGTCTGAAAAAATAATAACATTGGAATAATTGTTCTCTCTGGCGACATTTATGACCTGAAGCAAAACCCAGGCCTCAGCGGAGAACACAGAGATTGTCGATGGCAATCTTTGATAATGTTAAGAAGTCGGGAGAATAGATTACCTACGCCGATCGCTGACGATCTGTCTAACTTAGAGCCGTCTGTAAAAAAGAAGATATAAGAAGAAAAATTGGACGTTCTTAAATTAAATTTTAATTGAAAAGTCACAGGAGGACTAAATTTATTAAGAGCGAACATACAATCATTAAAAGGCTGAGTAAAAATGGAAGACAAGTAACCGAATAAGAAAAAAGAGAGAACGGCTGATAAATAGAGTTAATGATATGCTTGTGAATGATAAATTCACGTAAGCAAGGTATGATCTGCAGCGCTTTGGTGTGCTTTGTCTACAAGCCGACTCAAGGAGAACAACACGATAACGTCACGATAACATTATCAATCAAAATGACATTAAAATAAATCGGAAGTGACTTTTAATGATCATTTTAGAGTTATTTTGACATCATTTTGATATCTTAATGACTTGTTGTTTTGCTTGAGCGAGGCCTCCACAACGCCAAAGTTATATCTGAAACTGGATTATCAATAAGAACGAAATTTTTGTATATAAATTTGGAGATAAGATAAGCAAAGTGTATGTTAATGTATATGGGGGGATTTCTTGGATTCCACGAGGAAAACGTTGATAGGAGTAGATTTTCTATAACCGCCCGTAATACAAAAGGCCCTGTACTGAAGCCTTTGTAATTTCAAGAAGATGCCATGGTTATTTCTGAATTGGAAAACTTGACATCCATACTTAATGGCGGTCCTAAAGGGGAACGACAAAATAAGTAGTTGCTGAGGATGAAAAGCTCACCAAGTAGGTTAGAAATGCTATGGTATTGATCATCTTCACGCCTTTTTGTATAAGACAGGAATATTATGTTTCTTGTCGTTGAGAGTCTAGAAATCTGATCGAGTCCATTAACTGAATATCCTGGTTGACATGAAAAAGTCTGGAAAGGTCAGTTTTCTTCTTTTTGGTAAAAATTATAAATTTAGATTTCTCGGGTGACAAGTCCAGGCCCCGGGCTGGCAGGAAGGAATATAATTTATTTAAAATGTCTCCCTTTTCTCTTATCTGTAACAAGTCTGATCTTGTTGGCGTTCTTGTTAGTGATAAACACGATTATGTCATCAGCGTATAATGAAACAGTGTATCGCACCATATCTTAGCGCTGAGACCGTACCGTGTCTCCAGATGTGACGCCATCTAAACACATTGTTACAATTGTTCAATGTTACAAAGGTAAATGCTAAATAGCAAGGGGCTCAAAGTGAAATCTTGAGGGAACTAGAAGGAGTCAAGGAGGCATCTATTTTTCACTACAAAAATTTGTTATAAATTAGATTACCGATGAATTTCCTTGTGCGCGCAGGAATTTCGAGTTTCTTTAGATCATCCAGGCAGAATAGAATGACTCTGTCAAAGGTGCCAACAATATCCAAAGAGGCACAGATTGTACCTCCTCAGCTATAAAGCTGTAAATGTAGTTCGTCAGGGTGATAAGGTTGTAAGCGCAGGAATGACCTAGTCTAAAGTCCAGTTGGTATCTTCGTAGTATATTATTTGATTCTATAAACCATCTGAGTCGAAAATATGTAAGTTCTCAAGTATTTTGAGAAAACAAAATAAGAACGAGATAGATCGAAGTTCTCGCCCTCCAAATTTAGGGATGAAGATGATCAACGAATCCAGCCAAACGAATCCACATTAGGAAAAATACCGTCTTTGAAGATTTAGTTGAATAAAATTATTAGATAGGCTTGTTGGTTCGGCGGGAGATTTTTGATGGTGTGATAGTCCAGATAATCGAGATCAGGAGTAGAGCCAATCTTCAAATAGGCAGCGCTGAACTCCTCCTGAAAGGCTCCAAGGCAAGGTGAATAGGACGGTCTTGATCCTCCCTCAACATACTGTTCATAGAAGCTAACAAGCTTATTAGATAATTTTATTCCAATTTTAATAGAATTAATATGATAATGGAAAATGTTTATAAACTAACTTGATTTTTAATTATTATATTGAGAATATATCAGCGTCGTTACATAATTTAAAAAATTTATATAAATACTGAAAATGACCTAATATAAGATCAAAACGTTTGCGTTATTTTGTTTATATATATGTATATTCACGAAACATATATCTTGGCTTTTACGCTCCTTTATCTATTTTAATTTGACCTCGTTCGGATAACCAATAAATTGTTTATAATTTCATTAATTTATTCAATTTATTTTTCTTTTAGGAAAGCAATTTAGTAAATTTAAATAATTATCACTAAAAATAAAGTAAAAAATTTGCAAATAACAGTTCTCTTTATTACATACAAATATAATAAATTTTTTTATTTATTATAATTTATGAAATATTGTATTGAAAAAAATTAATATTTTATTTTATTTTTTATAATGTTAAATGATATTGAGCGATCTACATTTATTAACAGTAGATTTCTATCTTCATATAGCCTAGTTTTGTTATCGCATAACAAAATAAGGTCATCTTAGCGTTCAATAAATTAAAAAAAACCAATAAAAAATAAAATAAAAGTTTTTCTTTGGATAATATCAAAATTGATTATTAATTTTTGTTTCTTTTAATTAATCAAAATATTTTAAATAAACGGAATCTTTTACATAGATACATGTATAATGTTTTTACATAATTTTTAATATTATAACATAATAAAATTTTTTGCGCAACACTATTAATTTATGCATCATAAACAAATAATGGCTTTTATTATTAATAACAAAAACAACAATAAAATTATATTTAAAATAATTATGCTGATTAAATAAACACAAAATATATTATAAATTTTAGCAATAAAATAGAATTTATGTATTATTTTATTTTTTTTACACAATTTTCAACTGTGCTTTTTTTCAATTATATTTTTTTCCTATCTTTTTCTGTTAGATTTATTTTGATAAATATTTATTTTATTTCTGAATATGGAAGGTATAAAAAAATACAATTGAAAAAAAAGAGACATTATTATTAAAAATTAAAAAATTAATTTGTAATGCGGTTAAGTTTACATTATTATATTATTTTTCCATTATTATTATGTCTATTAGTATTATAGCTGTAGTCGTAAAAACAAGAATAACATGCTCATAATGTAAAACATAATGTAAAATGCGGAAACTTTGTTTGACTTTAAAATATCAGGTTACGAAAAGATTATCGGGTTATATACGTACATAAGATGCATCGGAAAAAAAAGTTAGGCTAGATAGGCTAGCGTATAAAAATATAACTTACTGTGCTCGATGTTCATGCTGAAATCTGAATGGCACACTGACCGGATCGAACTGACGATACTGAACACCGAGTCGAGTCAGATAACGTCGAATGTCGATACGTTTACATTTTCCCAGTTGTTCTTGTCATATATTGTCGTCGAACCAATAACAACGGCAATCAAACGTCAATTTTCCCTTCCGATCATTCGCGATAACACCCACGCGTAACACGGCTATAAAAAATAATTGATACTCGGTCTGATAATAAATATCATTGTTGGTGGGATTTCAACCCTTTTGATATCATCAAATACAATAATTTATGTTCGTGTCGAGGAAGGATAAATCAAGAAACTCCACTAGGAGTAAAAAATTAAATAGGAATTTATTCTGTATTATACATTCTAAGAGAATGTATGTTAGTTAAAAAAAAATACAAAATTTATCATTTATCATTATCTAATATAATAAGCATTCAAACATGACATAAAAATATTAACTCTTTTACAATTTACATTACATTACATCATGTATTGACAATAAAATGCACACAATAAAATACTGTATTATGTGTTCTAAATTATACTTTTTAATCCTGTTTTATTGAGGTATGTCAAATAACAAATGTTATATTTTCGAATCTGCTTCGCGGCAACTCTAGCAGCGACAGCCGATAAATAAAAGAGAAATATATTCTACCAGGCAATCCATGCTACGAAACCGAGCACGATCATCATCACGAACACGAAAATAAGGTACAAATCTTGAAAGTCGCCGGCTACTTAGATTCTTACATGGTTCCAGACGACACAGGGGACCAATCATTCCAGATACAATCTCAGCAAATCTACGGACCGCCTAACCATACACCAGGCAAACCTTTGTATTAGGTTTCCAAAATGTATTAGGAAACTTACCGACTTTCTCGAGTCTTCCTCTGGAAGACTTTCAGAATCCGTTCAAGAACTTTTGCCCTCTCTGCCTTTCATACTATCCTCTACATCCTCTATATCCTCAATATCATTTCTACCACAGCAATCTTAACCGCCCAAGTTAACGTGCTTTCTTCCACAAGTAGCGACTGAAATATTTGGGCTATAAGATATTTTACAAGTACTACGATAATTGCCAAGTATTAAACGCGTGAACCGTCAAGGATTGTTTAAATTGGATAATGTAAAGAGACAATATTAGATTTAATAAATGATAAAAAAGTCTTAACGACATTTGTATTTTTGTTAATATTCTATGATATGTTTTTAAAATATCCTCTGAGTGCTTTCCATTTGATAACACAAGTCGACACAAGCGTTATTCTATCTTTCTTGACATTCGGAGAGTGACAAAAATAGAACGACATTTATGTCGACTCGTATCATCAAAATAGAAAGCATCCTCAATCCTTTGAGATTAAAATATCTAAATAAGCTTGCATTCGACATCCGTGCCATGCGTCTCTGAACGAGTCGAGTTGAGTGAAACATAGCACCGAAACGAGCAGCAGCTCATTGTCAGCTATTAATTTGACAGATTGACAGATTTTGTGGTTGGGACGTTATCACGTCACACGTCACTACGTGCTCCAGTGTTTTTCCGCCGTATATGATCGTTCTGGTTGTTTGTGTGTGTTCTAAATAAAACGTCTTGTTTCTTTCTTAACGAAGTGTCTTCATTTCCGCGATTTTTCTACCATCAGAATAAGATTGCATAAAAAATTCAACTTATGCAACAATCTTGAGCAATAATGAAGTAGTCAATACAAAAATAGAAAGGAAACAAATATTCTTTACAGTATCATTCATTGGCATTTTTGACAAAATTAAAAACTTTTTAAAGAATACCAATACATAGTCAACATAGCATACAAAAATATTAACTTAAATTAAATTAAATAATTATATTAGAATGCATAAAGATAAACTTTTACGAATGATGCATAATGTAGGTTAAAATCTGTTGGAAATCACTCAGGATTATCTTGATAACATGTGTTCAGATCATCGGTTGATCCCATTTCTGTAGTTTTACCTTAATAAACATAGAAATCATATCAACTGAAAAAACAGAACAAAGATCGTAATTATCAGAATATTATCTGGAACAAGCACATGATTTTTATTGGGATAACGTTAAGATATTAAATGAAGAAAAAATTATTGAGTAAAAGACTCATATTAGAAATGATTTTTATTTGAAAATAAAAAAATAGTTTAAACATTATATGTACAGTCAGACACGAATTTATTGGACAAAGCGTATAACAATTTATTTATTAATAATTGACGTTTTCTTCTCTTTAATATTTTCTTTTATCTATGGTTAATTTGCTACTGTAATAAAGAATTGTTTAAATGTGTCATAACGTCCAAATAGATGTCAATTTTGTACTCTTAACAAATATCATGTAAGTTTAAGAACCTAACCATGTTTATCTTTATAATTTTTAAAATAGACTATTAAACTTTATAGTTATTATATAATTATTTAACAATGTTTCAATTATTATTGTATAGTGCACCGGGAAATCCAATGATTTCGTTTGAACGACATTGAAAAGGATTCGAATCAAGAATCGAAACTTGATTGATTTGTCTAAAATATGTAAATAAATAAATTTTATTGCACCAATATCTTGTGATTGACTCCAAAAGACATCACCTCATGGACTAATAAGTCTACTAATACATACAAATTGTTGAAATGTTTAATTATATTATATACAGTCTCTCAATCTCTTTTTCTCTTTATTTTATTCCTAATTTTAATTTATCTTTTGAATTTAATTTCTTATAAGTAATTTCCTACGTAATATTTTTGCACTCTAATAAACCAAAAAACAAAAAAACTTCTTCATTAATCCAATATTCTATCCTTATCGAAAATAAATATAAATAAGTATTGCAGCGATCAAAGACAACAAGATAGAAATTAATGAAATGAAACTTAAAATATTTATAGTATACTAGTATAATTTTAGATTCTATACAATCAGAATGAAAAAATCAAAGGTACGGAATAGACATTTAAAAATTGTTAAAACATTATTAAGATTAAAAAGATATAGGGGTTAGAAAATTTTTTTTATGGAAATAAAATTCTTTTATTACAAACATTATTGAACCACTTTTAGATTTCTTGATAGGTTGTATCAACCAACATATCAGTGCGAAAGACTTTACCAAATTACATAGAAATAATTCGTCAATATATAACGAATAGATAATAAAGCTATTGCAGCTCATGCACAAAACTTTGTAAATCTATATTAATTCTCACTTATTTAAATTCGAAATAGAGAGAACATAAAAATTCTATTATTTGATATTGTATTATTACAAAATTTACTAACTCTCGCGAGATAAAAAATTAATTGTTTTAATTAACACTAGATTATTATTGTTTTGCACGTAAGCTTGCTAGCCTTATAAATGATAAACATTTGATTAATCAACGATATTAAATAATAAACATTGTCTATGTCGAAGACGCAAGTTTTACCACAAACGACACTTTTTTGATGGATTCATGGTCGATCCTGCTGGACAATTCCATGCAGTGCTAAATTCTTTGGAATTTCTGAGTACAGCTTGAAGTCTCACATGACCGGGACAATGAGAATCTTCCATCATCCACTTTAGTGATGTAGCAGTATAAGATTCACACCACAACTAAAACAATGATATAATTAACATTTACTCACAATTTGAATAATACTAGGAACAATTTTCACAAACAACTTATTTAATAAAGAGATGATATATATCTATTTAGCATAAGCGAAAATGTTTTTATGTTACATGTCACATAATTATATAGAGGAACACACACACACACACACACACACACACACACGCGCGCGCGCATACAGTATCGTATCTTAATATCGTAAAATAAATTAAAAGTAGATTGAAAGAACGGAAGAATAATAAATTTTGAACAAGTAATATCAATCAATTTGTTATTAGATGAATAATATATATCAATTATTGTTATTGATCTCGTATAATTGAATTTGAATTTAAATAAGGCAGCAAATAAAAAACAAGCAGAGATAAAACTAATTCTATAAACTATTGATTATGAAATCATTGAAGAATTTTACAATTTGTTAAAAATATACAAATTTAAATGTGAATCAAATCTGGTAATTCCGGATTTGTCTTTCTACTACTTAAGCCAAGGAAAACAACAATTTTTATCATTAAATCCCTTAAACGATTTATTAATGACTTCTTTCTCATAAAAATGTAAAATTGATAAGAATATGGAAATTGATACATAAAAATGTTTAAAATATCACTTAAAATGTCTTTTTTGCTAATTGGTTAAATTTTTTATTTTACTACCTTAAGCGTCCAAAAACTTTGTGAAGCTAAGAGATTTTTATTTGGATATACCAAAATATGATGATTAGGACTTGACTACTATGTTATAATTGGACTGTTGGCTTACATGCGCAAAAGAAAGAAAAAGTAATTGTTCGTGCGTAAATTGCGTGAATCCCGGAAGTAAAGGCTCATGACCATGTCGAGCCTTCCATCTCTTATAAGCGACGATGGCCTCGCGAAGACCACCATTATCGGCGATATTTTCTCCCAAGGTCAGTTCGCCATCGATGTAATCGTCGACCTATACAAAACATTAACTCATCGATATGATCAGGTTATTCAACATTAAAATCAGGTTATTTAACATTAAAATGTTAAATATTAAAAAGACATTACCTTAATTAAATATTTTAATTAAAATTTAAATAACATTTAAATAAAATTTTAAAAAATTGTATATTAAAAATTATCTATTTATTTAATATTTGAACTCCCTCTTATTGTTTTATTTTATCACTTCTTTTATTTCTTAAAAGATGGACTCTTATTAAATAAACTTTTTTAATACCAAACGTTTTGTAATAAAATTATTAGACTTGCCTCAACTTCGTAATAAGTATTATAGTGATCTATGAAGCACTGAGTTTTGTCCGAGTACTCTAAAATGGTTTCATTGGTCCACCATTGCCGGAGATTTCCATCGCCAT